TGAACACCACCCAGACCCGGTTACAGAGATAGGACATGTTACAATTCTATGGAACTACACAATACACACTGACAGAACAATCAAAGCCAACCTTCCAGACATTGTTATTAAAGACACAAACAAAAAAACGTACCTCCTTATTGATATGGCAGTCCCTGCAAACTGTAATGTATCTTTTAAGATAAGTTGTCAAAATACAAGAATCTTAAACAAGAAATCTCAAAAATGTGGCACATGGGAACATCAACAATCCCCGTTGTAGTTGGAGCCCTAGGATTGGTTGGAAAAGATTGCAGTGGACTAATACAAGGGATTCCTGGAAGTCCATGCCTTAAAGAAATACAAAAAAAATTGTTCTCACGAGCACAGCTCACACTTTACGAAGGTCTTTATCTATGTAATTTTTTTTTTTTTTTTTTTTTTAGTAGAAAGTGTCATGATGCCATTTCTAACCTTAGCTCTCTGGGCGAAACCCGGAAAGAAATGTGTACACGCTAGAAATCAAAGATGATGATGATGATGATGTTGATAATAGTAATAATACATATTATTATTATTAATATATTCCTTTTTTCTCGTAGTTTTTGGATGCTATTAGCTGTTTTCTCACTTGCGGAATATTAAGCTACACGTCGGCAACTTAGGTATCCAGTATTTTTCTGATAGTACCAGCCGTGCCAAGAAAACATGCCTTCTGCTATACATAACAAAAACTTATTGGTAAATTTGACGCTTTCAACTAATAACAAAAATTACCTGAGCTTGTTCCCTATGCTCCGATTATGATAGGGATAATCTCCATCTTGATTTCCTCCTTTAAGTCTAGAGAGTCAGTAAATTTTTCTCCAGGAAGAAGAACAGATAAAGAAGAACAGAAAACTGAGACCTATAAGAATTTAAGTACGGGATATCATGTTAAACATAACATCATTTAATATTACTATATTAGGTGAGCAGAGAATATGACAAAAATAGTGCTTTAGACGTAGTTATATTAGATAGTGATGGCATCAAAGTTTATTGTTAATAGTATCAGGTAAGAGAGCAACACAACGAAAATATGACGCTTGGTTGCATATATACGAAGACACATATACTAGTCGCGACATTCAAACTAATAAATGCTTATCAGATATATATATATATATATATATATATATATATATATATATATATATATATATATATATATATATCAAGGTATGCAGTATAATGTGAGACGTTTTGATAAAATCAGCGCATAGTTTTGTAACTGGCGCCCAGTTAGAAATACATTCAAGTTGAGTAGACCAGTCTGCTGAGACGATTTTTGATGAGAGTGTTTCCTTGTGTAGATGTGACAGTTTTTTTGGCTTCCTAATCTTTCAAATGAAAAGCAGCACTCTAACCACCTTACCCTGATGCAACTCCATCTAATCCCGCTCATGAACGGAGATGTTAAGCGCATCAGTCCCGTGGAGATTTCTTAGGATCAAGCCTCTGATAGTAGTACGGAAGTGGTTATTTAATCTATTTAGTCTTATTACTATTTTATCTCCTTTGATTGCTGGTGTGTACTCATTTCTTTCCGGGTACCGCCCCCAGAGACCTAAGGTCTGAAATGGCATCGTGACATTTTCCACTGAGCAATTAAAAAAACAACAAAAACAAAACAATACAAAAAGCAAAAAAAGAAAGGCACACACATATTTTGCATAGATAAAGTCCTTTGCAACGTGTGGGCTGTACTCGTGAGAACAGTTTTTTTTGTATTTCTTTATTATTTATTATTATATTTACTATTTCTTTATTATTATTATTATTATTATTATTATTATTATTATTATTATTACTTTTACTTCCTTTGATTTCTGGCGTTTACACATTTCCTAGAAATGGCATCATGACCTTCTACACTAAAAAATAAAAAAAAATAAATACATAGATAAAGCCTTTCGTAAACTGTGGGCTGTACTCGCCAGAACAACTTTTTGTATCACTTTGAGGCATGGACTTCCAGGAATCCCTACAATTAGTCTCTTGGAATCTTTTTTAACCAATCCTAGGGCTCCAACTAAAACAGGGATTGTTGATGTTCCCATATGCCACAATTTTGCGATTTCTATTTCAAGGTCATTTTATTTTGACATCTTTTGATATCTTAAAAGATACATAGCAGTGTTCAGGGACTGCTATATCAATAAGGAGACACTTTTTTGTTAGTGGTCTTTAATAAGAATGTCTGAGCGGTTGGTTTGATTGTTCTGTTAGTGTGTATTTTGTAGTCCCATAGAATTGTAACAGGTCCTATCTACTTAACCGGGTCTGAGTGGTGTTCATACCATTTTCTTTCAGTTTCCTTACCGTAGAAGTTGCATATTTTCCCGTGCAGATATTGGCCCACTCTGTCATACCGGTATTTATACTCAGTGGGTGCCAATATCGTGCAAACTGATACAAGATGATCAATCGTCTCTGGATATTTATCACAGAATCTGCATTTTGGACTTACACAATATTTTAGTATATGTGCTTGATAATTCCTAGTTAACAAGCATTGGTCCTGTGCAGCAAGGATAAAACCTTCAGTTTCAGCTTTCAACCCTGCACTACGTAGCCACTGATGGGTACGGGTTTTGTCTACGTCATCCTGTTTGGTATGGGCAATTATTATTATTATTATTATTATTATTATTATTATTATTATAGAAAAGTCTACAGACTTAAACCTCGTTGCAATCGTGTCGATTTAGAAGAATTTCCCTGTCAGTCGCCTATGTTCATTTTTAAATAATTCAAGTCTCATCAATACTGAAACATAGCTGGCTGTATTCTGATTTCGGGGGTGATTTAAACCAGGTATGGCCAAACTTACACTCATTATCAGGTGATTATTTAAATGGTTCATCGACAACCAATAGTTGCCAACAAGTTGCATAAGATATTGCTTATCTCAAAGCTGGCTACAAAATTGGAAGAAAAAAATGAATTTAATAATTGTATGAGATTTAATCCGTTTTAGCTTATGACCGTGAAAAATTATGGCCAAATAGTTCAAAGGTAAGTAGCCCCAAATCAAAAGGTCAAAAATCAGAATGTTCAAAAGGAGGAGGCAGAACGAATGTGAAGGAGTTGAGAGAGAAACGCACTTCATAATAATACTTTCCACACTCACCCGAAGAAGTTTACGCGGCCGAAGCTAAATTAAGATAATAAATAATGTATTTATTTTATATCACAAGAAATAGAAAAATATTTTTATGAATTTTAGTTTGAAATTTAACACCAAGATTTCCATATTTTGAGAAATATGAGATGTAACTCTTAAAATGTCCCTCGAGATTATCCTGCTTTGGTTTTCTGCGTTTCATTTTCTATCATTTGTCGAATTTGTCTATCAATTTCGAATTTGAAGTGGTAACTATGTAGCTCGCATTCCTGGTTGTATCAGAGTCATACATTTTCTTTTCTTTCACTTAATATTCCTTAATTCTTGCTTTTTTACCGTAGACATGGCTACATGTAAGCGTAAGTTCTATGCCATCGGTACCTTCTCTCGCACCTCTACTTGCGGAAATCTCTTTTGGATTCGTGCTCCCCAGTGAACATTGCTCTTCAAAAACTGAAATGCAATGTCAATCGTTATCATCTGTCTAGTTAATTCCTGTTCTTTTATTTGTTCTCTCTCCTTAATAGTGTTTTTCGCGTATTCGCAGACAGCAATCCCTTGCGTCTTAGTGGCTTTATTACATTATTATATGTAAAATGATAAATAACAAATAGTAACTTTATCTATGTTTTCTTTCGATTTTCCTACTGATTTTGCCTCCAACGCAGTGTCTTCAGCTTATGTTGTGTTACAAAGATTATACCCGCCAACAATTAATCCTGATAGGACTTCTAAGTCTCTTAGTGCTTGGTGGAAAAAATCCTTTCTTGTCGTGTTCTTTTTCGGGGTGGGTATTCATAATGTGTATTTTCCATTTTCTGTCCACAGAAATGCGCTTTGGTCCCATTGAATCTCACGGATTACATCTCGATAAACACAAGATTCCTTAGCATTCCAGTTAGGACTTTGTATTGCACCTTTTCAAATACTTTTGGATAATGTATGAAACATTGATATAGGCCTTTCTGTAAAGTCTCGTTGTTCTTCCCATATTTGTCATGGAATTCTGCTGAGAGGTTTATTCATTAGAAATTTACTGATAGGTTTAGTCTTATTTTTTCATTTTTTTAGCCTTTTCCCCTAAGTAAGCCGATAAAGGCACTAAGACGCAAGGGGTTACTGAGGGTGAAAGAAATGGAGAAAACTTTATTGAGGACAGAGAACAACAACAGAACAGAATTCAAAAAGAGGGAATATGACGATTGACATTGCATTTGCATTTTAGAAGATCGTAGTTGAAAGGAAAGCGAGCAGCCAGTAGATAGTTATGTAAAAAAGAAGTACGAGAGAATAAACTATTAGAATTAGAACTTACGGTTATATCTAGAGATTTTAATAATTAAATGATGAGACCCAACTGCCAATCTAGCACTGCGCGTAAATTAATTGAGCTGCTGGCGTCTGCATTCATTTTCTCTTAGTTTTTTGGCATCGATATGAAGATGTTTTACTTAGTTCCTCGCGTATTCCGCCGCTCATAATATTTCAGGAATCTTATCAATTTCGAAATCGTCTAAATCTGACGACTTCTCTATGTTAGATAACAGTTTCCGACTACTAAATTTAGTGGCCGTGTATTTTGGCTCAGATTTTCGGAGGCTGACTGTTATGGTCAGATGTTAGACAAAACAAAGGAAGTTGTTTTTGATTGGTTAAAACTAGTGTGGGGATATTATAAGGATAGAAAGGGATTTCAGGGATCTTTAGACAGTAGACGTGATTATTTCTTTTCTCTGGGAACTTTCTCCCTATTGGGGATGATAGAGCGACCCCAGTGGCTAGTTAAAAATGTACACGCTGACATGTTTAATAAAACAGAAGGGAGAAGACGAGCGAGATAAGACACAACGTTATGAAATCGACCCCCGTCAACCAAAATACCCCCCAAAAGAAAAGGGTTGGTATGCAACATGTATTCCGATTCATTATGTCTTACATTGTTTCTCTTCATCTTCGACAGTAAAGATCTTAATTCTGATTTTATTATTACATTTTCTTCAATGCTTTGATGTCTTGTAGGTATTTCTTATCTGTTGACATGGAAGAAGTTTCCGATATATCCCTTCCATATCCAAAGTCCCTTTTCACTTTTTTTAGGTACTATACATCCTAACAAAAGGCGATTTTTATGTCCTGTCACTTATTTTATTCTTTTTATACTTTTCCGCTATATCTATATTCGTTTTTCTTTCTGTATTCTCACCTTTCTCTTTTAAACATTTAATTATGCGTGCTTACACTATTCTTTGATTAGCATTTTCTAGTCTTTAATATTTCTTGGCGTTATCTGTTGTCATCTTTTCATTAGTTCGATAATTCCATCTGTCAACTATTGTTGCTACTACATTGCCACTATTCTATTGCGATGAACTCATTTCTATATGCTCATAGGGTTTATCTGAAGGAATCCCATTCTGAATTACTGAGCCTTCTATGTTTCAGTATTTTACTCTTTAGCCTTTAATAATTATGCTCCGTTGCTAACAACTACACCAATCGAGATAAGGTGAATGAAACAAAAACAAAAATTTTCTTAAATATGTAATGCTGATATCATCAGAAAATTATAGCCTTGCCATTAATATATTTTTTGTCTATAACTTATTTGCACTTTTTCTTCTGATTTCCATGTCGTTAATTCTTTTTAAAGGTTCCATCCAACTGTCTACAACGCGCCAATAATAGAAAATTCAAATATTATCTTCCTTTTTTACCAATATTTTTATTTCTTTCTAGCAAGGCCCGCACATTTGTTCAGTTTTCCCGTTCTTTTAATTCTTACTATATGTTTTCTTTGTAGAAAAATCTATCCATTATTAGATAAATCTTAAAGATTGATTCACAATCTTGATAAGTTTCAAGCGTAACATGTCATAAATCTTGAGGGTCTCTGATACGCTAATAATTAATAATTAATAATTGTATTTATAGTTTTCAATTTGCTACTTGAATTAATACTACCATTTTAAATGTCATATGCATAATGAATTATTTAGAAAAAAAAATATTTTTCGTTTCTTTTGAATAGTCAGAATCGAACAGACTAAAACGGTCTTAGGGTACAACTTTGTTAAACTTCGCTCAATTGTTGGAGGCAGGCTCTACTCTGAAGGCAGAAGCGGTTGCTTCCCATTGAAAAAAAACAAAACAAAACAAAAAAAAACAAGTGAAAGCTTTATCAGCGCCAGTTACAGTAAGAATAAATATAAATATCTGATATCGGATAAATTTGATATCGATTAAATCTTGTTAGGTTTGGTTTGGTTTTGTTTGGTTTACGGAATATCAACCTCAATAGGTTATTAAATGCCGACAAGATTTGTTTTTTTTGGGGGGCGGTAATTATTTTTTATCTATCTATCTATCTATCTATCTATCTATCTATCTATCTATCTCAGTATATTTTGTTTAGTTTTATTTTACGGCATATCAAACTGAATGTGCTATTTAATGCCGACGAGAGTTTTATTGCTGGTAAAATTTCTATCTATCTATCTATCTATCTATCTATCTATCTATCTATCTATCTATCTATCTATCGCAGTATATATTGGTTTGGTCCGCTATTATTTAAAGGCATATTAACCTCAATGAATTTTTTAATACTGACAAAATTTTTATTTCTGTTAATATGTTTTCCTTCAAAAATGTATTGCTCGTATATTTTTTTAAATGTATTGCTGGTAATAATTTGTTTACAAAAAGTATCTGTTATTAAAACTTATTTTTACACTTTCATAGTGTTTTTACCACAGTTAAGGGGTTAACTAATTGCCCATAGCTAGGGCCCTAACAGGTGCTACCACCCCGTGTCAAGGTGGACCTGCGAACACCAGCAATTAAAAAGTTGTTCCACGCTCCTCAAAACCTGATCAGAAGCCTTTTTGTTGGACGTAGTTTATCGTCCTACATAGATCGCCATTAAATCTGGTGCCATAACGTATTGAATATATATTTTTAAAAATCTGCTTTGAAATTGGTCAGTGCAAAGTTTTCTTGATAGTTACATTACTAAATGAACATGGCATATTGTTGTGGATTCCTGGCTGAAATCCGGTACCAATAAATAAAAAACGCCAAGAATGAATATAGGAAAATAATGTATTAACGTAATAATACAAACTGGTAAAGCAGGTTAGTAGTTCCAGGAATACGGGTTAGTAGCAAAATATATATATAGTCTTTGTTATTGAAGTATCGCTGTATGACTTCTTACTGAGTCTACGTGCTCGCTCACTGTGACTCCTACAACGCTGTTACCTCACCCTCACTCTTCCGGTTACCTACAACCTTTTACTCTGTCACTCTGGACTCGACTCGACTCTTCGGTTTTGCTGTCTCGGGTCTTCACGTAGCCGTAGTATATGTATATACTGGGTGACGTAGGCGATCATGGACCTCCACAGTTGCCTGTCCTTTGTAGCTCTTAATGAATTTTATCTTTTTGTTAATTCTTCTAAGCTCTGTTTAAAATAGCCAACTAAATATATATCCTGTCTACTTGAAATTTTTACAAGGCGGTAGAATCCATCATGCATAAAATCGGGAGTTACATTTCAATTAGCCGGTATACTTAAAAGTATCTTTGAAGAAAGTAACATCACATTTGAAGTCTTCATTTTGGGATCGATTCTTGACCTCACACTCTATAAAGCGCTAATGATCTTCGAATATAAACAGAGTCAAAGAAAACAGTGTCTGTATATTGTTTAATTAATTGGAACTACTTAAGTAATATGGTCCACTTATAAAAATAGGGGATATGTGGGGGGGGTAAAATAATTTTTATTGGAAAACATTCTTTACAAACCCTTCTTAAACGGTAACACTTATCAGAATCGAAGAATATTCTTTTATTTACATTACAGTTCAAAAGTTTGAAGCAACTCCCAGAATTAGTATGGGATGAACTTGACAGACGAGTGAGAAAAGAAATGAAAAAGAGTTCTTAGAGTCACTGAACAAAGAATGGAATTAATTATCACAGTTATACTTTAGCAATAAATGACACGAATATGTGCTGCAGTAATCAAGGCTAAAGAGGATATTTTGACGAGAGCAAAATTTAATCATATTTTTTTTTCTTGCTGTTATAATACAATTTCTAATAAAAAAATCAATTCTCACTTTTTTTTTTAACCATATATAATAATTTTCTTTTATTTAAAATGCAAAAGAACTACTTTTGGAGACAATTTAAAAAAATTACCAAGGGTCGCCTCAAACTTTTGAACAGTAGTGTACGTTAATTAGATGAGGACTGATGAGCCCATCTTTGTTATTTCTATGACAACGTTTCAGTCGTTTTTCCCTTCAGTTGTATATCAAACCGGGTACCCTACATTCATTTGATACCCTATTTGGATGATAGGGTAGTTCTTCTATTTATATCCAGTTATTCAGCTTAGGCTAAGAAAATTAACTGTTATTTATAAATGTCAGGTTTGATAATGTGTAAACAACATTAATATATATATCCAGTTTTATATTTGTTGAATTTTGATAAACATTTTTCTAACTAGTTTTAAACATTAAATAATCTTGGTATATGGTATTTTCTCCGAAACACATGCATAAAAAATTCACGGTTCATGATCCTTATTTTAAATTAGGAATAAATGGCCATATACTTTAATTAATTTATGCCAGTTTTTAAAAAGATTAAATGTATATATAGCTTTGTTCGTTTATTAAATATATATTTTAAATGGTAGTTATTTTAAAACGTAACAATTATTTGGGACACCATTAGTTTGGTTTGGTTTGTGTTTTTTTTACTGCATATCAAACTCGATGTGTTATTTAATGCCGACAATATTTTTATTGCTGGTAATATTTTTTAATGTATTACTGGTAATATTTTTTCTTCAAACATGTGATGCTGGTAATATTTTTTTCTTCAAAAATGTATCGCTGGTAATAATATTTACTTCAAAAATGTATTGCTGCTAATAATTATTTTCTTCAAAAATTAGCTGGCATTAAAACATTTTTTTACACTTTCATAGTGTTTTGACCCCAGTTTAGGAGTTAACTATTTGCCTATATTTGGGACCCTAACAGGTGCTACCACCCCGGGTCAGTGTAAACCAGGGAACACCAGCAATTAAGAGGTTGTTCTGCGATCATCAAAAACTCCTGATCAGAGGCCTTGCTGTTGGATGTAGATTATCGATTTACCCATGATGGAGATATATTTGGGTCCGTGACTTTTTTCTAGCTAAGGAAAATTTAGAACACATAAAGACCCGTCTTCCTCAACTCCTCATGGCTTTGTGCCACACTTTCTGTGAATGACAAAAATTTTGATAAACATTTTTCTAACTAGTTTTAAACATTGAATAATCTTGGTGTATGGGATATTCTCCGAAACAAATGTTTAAAAAATTCACGTCTTAAATTAAGAATTAAATTAATTTATGCCAGTTTTTAAAAAAATGATTAAAATGTATATATAGCTATGTTCGTCTATTAAGGGAAATATTTTTGTAACTCTACAGCCCAAAAATCATTTTATCCAGGCTAATAACGGTCTAGATATCAGGGATTGTTTTGGCATTGCGTCAATATTATAAACAGGACCCCCGCTGTTAAATCAATGTAAAATTAATATTGTTCGAATCTGACAAGTATCAAGGACTAAGAAAGATAAAAAGAAAATATTTATCTATAGAAAATTATTTCCTAAAAACAAGTACTTATTTATTATGAGAGGACCAGTTGACATATATAGAGTAAGTTAAGCAATGTAAGTAAAGCTCACGGAGAAAAGCATCATTATAATGTATTGAAACAAGTGCACTTATTGCGACCTAATATACACTATCGCTACCAGTAAACAAAGATGATAGCTAAAGGTGAAGCATTTAAAAGTCATATGACCAAAGACTGAAAGGCTATTGTATTATCATTCAGAATATAAACTACCTCACCGACCACTACTATTTCCGCGACTAATGGCCGAAAGTGGTTAGAATAAGGCAATAAGGATTCGCATTAGTCTTTACAATTTAGCCACAAAGACGATGAAGCACATCAATGATGTTAAAGCCGTTCATCTTCTTAATGCTATTAGTGAAACCTTGATCCTTGAAAAGGCGAGATCAAGCGGGAAGGGGACAACATTTGAACACTTCAAATGAGCAATAATAGGAAAATGCCTCGAACTGAATACTACGTTCATATGTGGGTGTCAGCTGGAAAGTCAACATTAGAGGGGTGGAGGTTGCTAATTTAGACTGGTTATCCGACCCCAAACGCAATATTATAAACATGTTTTAATATCAACTTTTTCAGAATAATTTTACCTCAAGAAAGGCTGTAAGATGAGAAAAACGAAAAAAACATTATTAAGGCGAGTGGCCAATAAAAGGGCAATAATTAAGGAGATAGAAGATGACGTTTAATTGCATTTAATTTTTGAAGATCGTTTTGGACTGGAAAGCAAGAAGCCAGAAGAGATTACAACAAGCGAGAAGTGCAAAACTTATGGTCATATCTAGTAATTTCAAATGAAAAATGATGAGACCTAACAGCCAATCTAATTTATAAACATACAATATATAACTTTGTAATTCTGAGATGAATTATGATCATTACATATTAATCTATCCGTTGTTTAATTAAGGTTCACACATTACAACTTCCAAGAGCCACTCGTTATAGAGGGTTGGTTTTGTTTGGTTTGTTTTACGGTATATCAACCTCAATGAGTTATTTAATGCCGACAAGATTTTTATTGCTAATATTTTTTTCAAAAATATATTGTTGGTAATATTTTTTCAAAAAATGTATTGCTATTAATTTTTTTTTCAAACATGCATTGCTGGTAATTTTTTTTCTCCAAAATGTATTGCTGGTAATATTTTTTTTCTAAAATTTATTGCTAGCAATATTTTTTTTAAATGTATTACTGGTAAATTTTTTTCCCAAAAAAACTATTGCTGGTATTAAAACCTATTTTTATACTTTCATAATATTTTGACCAATTTTGGATAGTTAACTATTTGCCCACAGCTGGGATCCTGAAAGTTGCTACCACTCCCATGTAAGTGGGAACCTAGGAATACCAGCATTTAAGAGGTGGTTCTAAGCTCCTCAAAACCTCCTGATCAATGCTGTTGGATGCAGTTTATCGTCTTACCCAGGACACTCGTTATAGAGGGTTACTGAATGTAAGGAGATTATGAGGATGAGGTGGATGGCAATTGAACCTTGACATGAAAATTTTAATATTGTATTGTCCAGGGAAGACATAGAGTAGCAGTAATCTTTAACAACTATATGAGCGTAACTTAATTTTTACAAATAAAACACGGAGGAAAATTGAGTTATTGAACTCTATATACATAGAAATATTCGCTATATCTGCAAAAGTGGAACTAAAAAGTGAGTTTCTTCCGAATATTTGTGATGGGAATTGCGATCGGGTAACATTGTTTTCTGTGGGAATACGCTGCAGTTTTGAACATAAGTTATCCCTGGCAAGACAGCATAAAATATTTTGAACTTTATCAACTATTTTAAATGAGGATGCATCAGTTCCATTTCAGGCATGGTAGAAATCCCCCAATATTTCATTTAATCTGACTCTTGCAGAGATAAAGTGGCAGAAGGAGTTAGGTGCCTTACGGATCTCTACAAAGAATCGACCATTTTTTTCAGCATCCTAGATTATATATGTTAGCTGCACTTGAAATGTGGCGTGAACCTATGTACCAATAAACGTTCAAATGATGGGACACTCGCTGAAATTGCAAATTCCCATTGTGAGTGGAGAAAGTTCAGGAATTCGATCGGTGATGATGGCATGGTAACAGATTTGGTTTTAGTGGTATTGAAAGTTACAAGACAGTTGGAATTATCAAAACGTTTCGGTAAACCCCTGGGTTTCTTCAGATTTTATTTCTGTTCGACACGTTTTGAGTATCTCTAATGGAATCCTAAATTTAATTCAAATATAGAGACCGAAATGAAAAAAAAAATTCTTATATTGATCAATCCACACATTTCCCCCAGCTATGGGTTAATTAATAGGTAGTCCTGAGTATGACGATAAAATACATCAGGGAGTAAAACCTCTGATCGGTAGATTGGAACTTTTGAGGAGTGTGGAAGTGCCTCTGTATTGCTTTTATTCCTATGTCCACCCTGACCTGGGTGGTAGCACCTGTTAGGGTCCTTGCTCTCGGAAAATAGTAATCATCCAAACAAAAGCAAAATGAATGTATAAAAAAGCATTTTATAGTGAAAATAACAATACATTTTTATATAAAAAAGGACAAACGATGTATATTTAATGTAACATTACCAAATTACTTCAAAACTTTTAACAAAAAAAATATATTTCGGCATTAAATGACCCATGGGGAATTTATATACACTTAAATAAACAAATCAATCAATTCATTAATAGAAAGTAAATCATTATTATTACAAAAAGACTCTTAAAATATAAAAATATTTTCTAGCCTGTAACGGTTTGATAAGCCGTAAAAAATAATCACTCAATCAACTAGGCAAACGAACATGATAAATAATTTAGGTGTATTTACTTAAGAATGGTTTGATCGGTACTATTTCCATTAAAAAATGAGCATCATTTTGGTAAGCATATCTTAACTATTCTCAAGTCTTTTGGATATAAGTTTGTACGTAGTTCTTTATTCAAAAACTTCTTGAAATTGCCTGTAGTCATATTAAATCGTGGATGTATTGGCATATTTCATATCTTTATTTGTTGTTCTATAACTATTTTCTTTTATAACAATTGTTCATTGTCATTTGCCATACAGCCATGTATAATACAAAATCGTTTTTTCTTTACTTCTTTTCCTAATTTCTCTTGTCTCCTTTTTTATACACCCTTTTTTATTTTCGCTTTTCACACTTTATTTTTTTTTATTTCTTATCACTTACTTCACTAAACCTTTCTCACCTAGTCTCTCTTTTTTCACTCCTTCGTCTTTTATTTAGATGTGTAGTCAGCCTGTGTTTATGAAAATGAATACATGATGTTGGAATGTCCAACCGGGCCCGCTTCCTGCAGTCGGAAGAGGACGCTGCCGGGCTTCGCTCCATTGTCTACTTTTACAAAGAGCTACCCTTGCAGATTTAGAGATGCTTTACTTTCTATCTGTCTCTCGGCCGCTGTCGACAGTATCGTTTCTATTCAATACTTTTCCCGAATCCATTTCTTTTCCTTTCCCTTATTTCGTGTATAATGCCTCGAGATTTGCCCTGAAGAAGTCTCAGCCCGCTTAGCCCTCCAAATACAACTACTTTTCACAGTACCTTCACTTCCTTAAAAGTGGAGTTTTCGGGCTCTATTTCACAAGGCGAACTACATAAGCCTGCTTTCCACTTCCTTTCTTAGCGATGTATTCATGCGCTAATGAGGATACGAGATTCGCCTGCTGAGAAAACGGATGAGATGTGGTGGGAGGCGTTGAAGTAAGATGGGTGGGAGGAGTTCCATTCGACGTTTTCGTTGTCGAATGAAAGATGGCGCGACTATGTATATCAATATGTATTACCGAAAATATGCGATTTCTATATGCGTTTCAATCCATACGTTTTGGTTTTCTATCCTAATAGAATTAAACCAATGTGGCCAGTTAGAAAATATTAAGTACTGGCAAGAGGGACAGAGGAAACAAGATTTAATCTACTCAGGGATCTTAGGTAAATGGAGGGCGGAAGAACATTTAGGAGAAATAACAAAAAGAAGAAAAAATAAACTTATAAATGCTAGTAAGTACTGGATATTGTGAAGAGACATCATTGCCTACAGCCTGAAGGCACACAACACATAACCTAGCGAAATTTCAGATGAGGCTTTTTTGCAAGTTACTAATTTCAAGTCTGCTGCGTGGATACTCGAGAAATGAAAGATATTTTTATCCGATTGACTGACTATATATTTCAAATGTATTCCTTGATAAACGTGAAATAACACATTAAAAAGAAGAAAAAACTGAAGGGATTACTCTATAATTCGGTGACTGAAATTATTTGTTAAAATAGCCATGATGACGATTCAAGAGCAAATACATGAATTAGTATTCTCGGCGTGATTAGTATATGAAGTTCGGTCAAACATCCTGACTTTTCTAAATTTATTTCAAATATTTAATCAAAATTTCGAGTTTTCTTTTAGTTTTTTAAACATAAAATACTCCAAAACTCGCTGGATGAATTAACAGAGTTACTTTCTATTTATTTCCATTCATCACAGTTGTCCACACCTTTGTTGCCATATTCATGACGTTTCGTCTGTTGTACGTTTCGGCCTTCTTCTAAACTCTTTATTTCGTCTAACACGGTAGATTGTTCGCGTTCTACATTCCATGCCTCTTCCAGATGACTCAGTTATCTCCCTTTAACTCAACTTTCCAGATTTTTGTTCACTACTGTAGTAGCCAGGTATTGAACTCACAGCAATAAGTTTTCGTAAAGAAATATTACCAGAAATACATTTTTGTAAATAAACAAAAATATTACCAGCAATAAATTTATGCAGTTAGATATCACTAACGTTCCTAAGAAAATTAAATTTCAACATTAAATGACCCATAAGGAGTTGATATGCCGCTAAACAAACAAGCATTCAAGTGAGCGATGGTAAGGTCTGTAATTTGGTGAAAACACTTCGCTGTTCAATCAGCTAAGCAAATTAGTTACAGTAATATTGAGATCAAGCCTTCCCTTGTCAGGAATATTCAGCAGTCATTGACCTAATAGCTATCATTACGCTCTATTGACATTTAGGCAATGTTTATTTTAAAAGTGTTTTCAGGAAAATAAACTTCACGAAATATAGCTTTTCTAGTATTGATCAGTTTTATTCCTAATGTTCTGTTTAATTTAGTGGAGAAAGTCAAAATATTGATTATATCATTATTTTATCTTCGAGTTACATGTGCAATCCCTTTTAACTGTTGCTACAATTGAAAGTCTTCAAGTGATATGATGACTATTATTTAGTAACGTTCTTCCTTTGTGATTCTGTAGCGCCAGTGTATGAGATCTAACACAGATCTGTCAAGCATGGTCATTTACTCTAAGCCTTTTTAATTATTGATCAGAGAAAGCTCTTATATGTAGTTAATTGTTTAAATATTTATGAATGAGTCGGGTACTATGCATGATATTCATATAATATGTTTAGTATCTGTCTATATTTCTGAGATGAGGTATTATGTACACTATTTACATTATTCAGACTATTGTCCTCATCTTTGTCGCCATATTTATTACAACGTTTCGGCCTTTCAGTATCTGTCTATATTTCTGAGATGAGGTATTATGTACATTATTTACATTATTCGGACTACTGTCCTCATCTTTGTCACCATATTTATTATTACAACGTTTCAGCCGTTGTACGCTCTTTCAGGTGGTTGGAATGTCGAACGAAACCCTTTATTTCGCTCACTGGAGTAGACTGTTCTAGTTCCATGTGCCATGTTTAATGGATGTCACTTATCAGTTATCTCCTGTTAATTTCCCTCAAGGATAAATGTTACAGTGGATAAAGGCGTTGGTTAGATCCAGTGACAGGACCCAAAGTGTGTGAGTTCAATACCCAGTTAAGTCAGTGGAGAATTTTCAGAGGGAAATTAACAGGAGCTAACTGGTAACTGACATCCATTAAACATGGCACGTGGAACTAGAACAGTCTACCCCAGTGAGCGAAATAAATGGTTTAGTTCGACATTCCACCTGAAGAAGGCCGGATAAACCGCCGAAACGTTGTAATAAATATAACGACAAAGATGAGGACATATCCAGGCAATGTAAATAATGTACAAGGCTTTTTAATCTGACAAAAGAATATGGCTTTGGGTTCTCAGGATTCTGTCACATTCCATAAATGGACAAAGTGTGCTTGCTACCCAGAAGTGCACAAAATCATAACACTCAGAGAATGGAAATTCAAAAAAAGTTTTCTTTTGAGTTTGTCTATATTTCTGAGATGAGGTATTATGTACAGTATTTACATTAGTCGGACTATTGTCCTCATCTTTGTCGCCATATTTGTCACAACGTTTCGGCCGTTGTACGCTCCGGCCTTCTTCAGGTGGTTGGAATTTCGAACTGAACCCTTTATTTCGATCGCTGGGGTAGACTGTTCTAATTCCACGTGCCATGTTTGATGGATGTCAGTTATCAGTTATCTCCTGCTAATTTTCCCTCTGAAAGTTCTCCACTGCCTTAACCAGGAATTGAACTCACCTTCTTTGGGTCTGTCACTGGATCTAACCAACGCCTTTATCCACTGTGCCATGTGTCCTTGAGGACACATGGCACAGTTTTCTTTTTGCACTATCATCCATTATCCTACCATGCAATTTGTTAGGGGTATGTTTCCCGTTGTACCTCTTGCCATAATTGGTATTTTTTTCGTTATATATCCTACAAATTTCAACTGCCTCTATCTGATCTTAAGTATAAGCACCATTTTTGTGTTCATTTTCCTTTAAATGACCTCATTACTCACATATAAATTCTATGCTATTCTCAGCTCTCTTTTATAGAACACCATTCATGTTGCTTTAAGTCCCTTCTTCATCTGGTAGGAGATTCATCATCATTTACTGCCATATTGAAGAACTGATATAAATTAACAGTTCAGCACTCTTTTCCTCGTTTCTAAATACATTTTCCTTTTTTCTGATACTTTGATTAGCTTTTGGAAAGTATATTTTTCTATTCCAATACGCCTTCGGATTTCGCTGTCACATTTCCTATAATCTGTTGAAACATCCTAGATATTTAAAATTCAATATTTGCTATATTTAAGCATTTCCAATTTAAAGCTTTTAACTTGTGCTAGAATCGTCCATTTTGTTTTGTTTTTTTAAATTGTTTTCGGGGATATCTTAAGGGACATTTTAAAATCACATCATGTTTTAATTTTCTTAAGCTGTCTATATATAATCATTTTACTAGTAAAATATTCCAACATTAATATTACAGCTTGTGTTACAAAAACCAGGCCCATAACTTAGGCGATTTCAATCCTAGACCATAATTTGCATATATTTTTGTCCCAGTAACACAAATAAATGGACAACAAATTGAAATAAATTTAAAAATGATTTTCATTCAAATACAGGATAAATTCTCTTTATTGAATAAATTATTTTAAAATATATTCAACCTCTCTTTTCTTTATTTCCATTTTTGAAAAGATGTTGCAATCTTAATATCATTAGCATTTGTCAATGATATATTAAACGATACCAGGGAACGAAAAATTTAAACCAGAAATCATCAATTTGGAATTATGGAAGCAGCCGGAGAAAATCTTTTAGATCAATTTTCATAAAATTCGTTTTTATTTTATTTATTTTTCTTCTCTTCTCTTTCTGTTTCAAAACTCACTTTTTTCTTTTTGCTGCTTATCGAATATTAATATTTCCTGTAATTAACTTTTATCTGATACTTAGCAATGCTGAAAAAATATCTTAGAAATGGAAGTGACTAATTTAAGTTAAAAAATAAAACAACCAAGAATTCTGTATGACAGCTGGTTTTAAACATTTTGTAAATATTCAGATGCTTTTTAATAAATATTCTAATTGTACCCAATCACTTGTTCTTCTCACTGACACACGCCTTCCTGTAACGATCGTCTTCAATAATCATTTCTTCTATCAATAAACATTATCATGTCATCATTAAAAGTACAGATAAATAAAACTCGGACCAATTTTATACGTATTTATAAAGTCAATCGTAGTCTGGTACAAAGCCCTTATTTACTAAGTTTACCTTGGTATAAGGAAAAATGTATAGAGCACTCACTACTAGCAATTGTCAATCAGATTTAGATAGCTATGACATTACTCAGAGACAACCGAATAGGTACATAGACGTGATACTCAAGGCTTTAAACTAGATTGATAATGAGGATAAAATGAAAAACATACATTATGTCAAACGACATTGAAAAGAAATTAATAATATTATTCACTTTTAATGATTCCGCTCATTGCAATTTAATGTATATCTCGTTCTTACCATGAGATATATCCTGTCCACGAGATATATATGAGATCTTGTATTGATGAGATATTACCATGTACTAATATCAATGCGTAAATTGAATACTATTTGGCTAAGTGCTGTGTGTTAGTCTTATTAAGATACCAAAGTCCCTAGTGGATTTGGTGACATAGTTATTGTGAGTGCAACCCCTGGTCTGGGTAGTGCAAAAATAGACACAGTGAAAACAAGCGAAAAAATAACTAAGTAGT